ATAAGTTCGGTCACCCCGGCTATAAAATAAGTTCGGACACCCGGGCTATAAAAGAAGTTCGGTCACCCTGGCTATGAAAAAGTCACAATTCACCGGCCGATGATGGCCTAAACTTTTTAACTGACAGCCCCAAACTTTTTTAAGAAACGGCCAGCAACTTTTTTTTTATAGTAAAGTTCCGATCTCGGAGTCCCCGGCCCCAAATATAAGGCATATGGCTCCGTTACCGGAGCCCCCGGCACGAAGTGGTTAAGCTTTGCCACCATACTACCATACACTTACATGTACATTATATCTTGTAGGCTTTGCATTTGAAGTATGGATGATGGTGATCATTGATGCTTAAGGTGTGTATTTGAACAACATGTATTGTTATAAATGGTACCAATAATAACAAATCTAATGGAAATTAAAACCTGAAATGAAATGGGAAGCAATGGTATTACATCAGATTTTTGAGTAATCCCTCTTTAACATACAGTTTCTAATTCTTCTTTATTTAGTTTGCTGGTGTACAACTTAATGACTGCAACTTTATATGAGTTCCCTTGACCAGTTCCGTAGTAAAGGACTACAAAACTCCTGCTCAAGTACAAGTCTACTTCATGACTGAAACTTATTACAATTTACTAGACCAGCTCTCTTAGGAACTTGAAGGACCAACTTCCTGCTGCAATTCTTCTGGCATAAATCCCTTGGATGGTGAACCAGTCTGAGATTGAGTACGGGGCTTAAAACACGGCTTGAGAAACCTGTTCTTTTCTGCCTTCCAGTTTTAGTTGGCTCTGTGCAAAGGGAATGTGAGGTTATACGGTCCTGATCCACTGTGCTGCTAAGTTTCATTAGCATCTCTATGGACTCAGCTGAGAGACTGCTACGTACATGTAGCTTTGATTTTACTCTGTTTTGGCAGCTAAATCCTCATTCACAGTCAATGGAAGTGAGAGGAATCGTCAAAACAATTTTGCAAAGAATGCAAAATTGCACGAGGTCAATAGTATCTGTTGAATGAACTGCACAGAACTCAGAATACCGGCACCTTTCATCATTCCCTTTGCCTTGGAAAAGTCTTGCTTAAGTACATCACGGTCCAATAAACAGCTAAAATTGATGATGCCAACAACTTCCAAGCTGTCCTTCACATTGTGTGGAGTTGACGCATTAAACATGCATGGGTCAGTGAGTAATGCCAGTGCCTTCAACACAGAGGATGTTTCATTTGTGGCATGTATTGTGTCATCTATGCACAAGTTTGATTATTTCCTCCACATACTTTGATCTTAATGAATAAACTTCTATAAGCTGTTTCCTGTTGTAGACCAACTCAACACCATTTGCATTATTTGCATCCAACAAGACTGCCACTTGTGGGCTACATACAGCATCCCCAGACTCATCGCCACCATTCTGAATCTTAATTCTGTTAAGAAACGGCTTCAGTTTAGGGCCTGGGGTTTCCTTAAACTCTTCAACAGAACTTAGGCAAGCCTGCATTTTGGGCAGCAAGTCAACACACAGCAGTTCTCGACTTTGCATGAACCTACACAAGTCTCCTACCACATCTAATATGTCACATAAGAAGGCCAATGTTGCACAAAATTTGTACGTTTTCCTGAATTTCTGCAGACAAGAGGCTGTTGCATTTTGGTTACGGACAGCATCATCACTAAGGGTGACCATGATAGACTTGTAACATTTGTGAATCACATTCACTGCAATGAACATTGAAAGCCATCTGACATTTATTGGCTCCTTCAATTTGAGGTTCAGCTTGCCAAGCACCTTTTATATTGCCGCTAGTTTTGCTTGTCATACGGCTGATGAAGCAAAGTGATAATACAGAGTATTTATGTTACTCCTGAATACTTTGACGAACTCAAACTTCTTAGCAGCATGTAAGCCAAAGCAAGCCTATGTGCCAAGCAGAGCACATGTACAAGGGCAGGTGCGAGGTCATGAAGTTTCACTCAAATACCCTTGTGAATACCTGTCATGACACTTGCACCATCACTACCTAAGCCACAAGCTGCTTTAGGTTCAGGCCAAGACTTTGAATTTTTTGCTTGACTTCAGATACAATAGTCTCAGATCTGCTGTTCCATCTGCAATCCTAACATTGCACAGCATATTGGTTTCCATTTTGCCATTTCTCACATATCTTATGTACAGAACGAGTTTCTTATGGACCGCAATGTCTGTACTCTCATTTGCTATAATGCCATACACCTAAAATTGTTTCAGAGAACACAAGATATCAGTTTCTATTATTTTCACGAGGGTTTTCTGAACTTCTTTCACCGTTGTATCACATACATCCTTCAAGTCACGTCCTCCCCCATTAAGTCTTATCAGCTCAAGAAGACTGTTGATGGATGAATTCGCCATTTCTTTTTGTGCCCCAAAAAGCACAGTCCTGAAGAAGTTCATCTCTGACACAGACAATGAAGCAGCATGTTCTGGTAGCAAAAGACAGTAAAGAAGCTTGTCTCGTCTCAAGGCCCATACTCATCTGGTGTTCTTTGCTGTTATTATGACGACCCAGTATGCTGTGTTGCATGTTAGCTGTAAAACAGGAAACATGCACAAAGAGAATTAAATATAAATTGAAAAAGAAAATAAAACAAAATAGGCCTAGGCCAATAAAAAAATTCAAAATCCGAAAATGAAACAAATTTACGAGGAAATTTTTTCAACCAGGCGCATATTTTGTACACAAGGGTGTATTGCTTACCACGCGATA